CCCTGCCCGCCGCCCTGCCCGCCGCCCTGCCCGCCGCCATATATCATTCACTGTAGATCCCACTCTATCTCCACTCACCCCGACGTAATGCCTTGTCCCCTTGTCCTCTGTCCCCGTGTAATACCTTGCGTCGCGTTGCCGCCATTGTGAGCCCGCGCCCGCCCATCGCGGAAGTGGAAGTTGGGAGAAAAGAGGTGGCCTACCCGCCAGGCGTTTAACTTACGCGTCCCTGTGCGGAGTGCTAGAGTGCAGTCACTAATTAGTTGCCGGAGCGGGTGGGTGAGCCTTTGAGGGAGCGGAGAAATGCTGAGGACTTGTTTGTGTGTTGAGCGCAAAACAGTTTCCCTTTCTCTGGTCTTCGTTTGCTTCCCCCGGCGTCATTAGCGCTCTGTGTGCATGCGCAACGCCGAGATGTTAGGAATAAAATTGTTCGCTAATTCTCCGCTAGTTTGCTTCTCGAGAACTGGACAGTCGTGAACTGTTGCTTCATATTTTTTTCAGATATGAAGATTATTATAAATTAAGTTTCACCTTAATGCAAGTGTAAAATATTTTTTAATTGTTTTCTAAGTTTTAGGGATTTGATTTTGTAAAGTAAGGCATCCCTGTTTTTAATCTTACTGATAAGGAATGTTTATAATTTTTTTCAATTGTTAATTATAAAAAAGTCATTAATAACATTATTAGATATTATTAATTGTTAGTATTTTTATCCGCCTTAAAAGGTCAGATTCAATCTTTCGAACCATTAGCTCTCTGTTTGCTCGTGTTTTGAGAGGTATAACACAGGTGTGTAAGGAATGAATGGTAAATGTGTCTGCTCACAGCGCGTAAATTCTAAGCACGAAGCTTCCTCATTAACCGACGACAGGTCGTTACTATTTTACTTGACAATCACCAATACGACGTGTTTGTTTTGACTGGAACTTTCACCGTCAGAATTTCCGAACTCGCCTCCGAAGCGGACCTGACCGAGCGAGCGTGTCCACGCGTCTGTTAATCCTGGGCATGCGCAACGGGGAGCCCGACAGAGCGACGATGCAGTGGCGTGCGGAGGCGGGCTGCTCGTGGGAATCGGGTCGGGTCGGGACGGATCGCATTGGGACGCCATTGCAACGATTCACGGTCCGGGCGTCACCGAGAAACCCCATAAGACAACCTGCGACACTCAATGTGTGACGATTCACTTAAATGGTAGTGCAACGTCATGCAGTTCGCTGAAGTGTTAAAGGAAAGTCTGTTTGAAAGTACTAATGAGTTTAGTAGAGGACGGTTAGAAATGTATATATCAATAGCCGTTATGAAATATTTATCAATTAATTTCTCAAGAAGTGTCAACGAATGAGTTTATTTATTTGTGTACAGTTAATGAGCCTCAAATTATGTTCGTTAATATAAATAATTTTAGGCTAGTAATTTATTATAAAGCAAGTCAATGCTTTCAATGAGTTCTAATAATTCGAAATAATTTAAACAATTAATAATAGGTTATTAGCAACATTTATATAACAATACCGTGTTTATAAAATGAAGCAGAAACGTGCACTTTCTATAGACTTTTCATGTATCTGGTCATTATTCCTGTGGTTAATGTGTTAGCTAAATAGCTGAAAAGTTATCGATTTCTCACCTCTTCAAGTTGAATTGTCTGAATAAATGAGAATATGATCTTACGAAGGAGAGTAAAACCACCGGCATTTATCGCGTGTTTATAGTACATCGTTAAAATTGCACATAGAGTAAAGAGAAAGGCCAAAGCAGTCGATGTGGATCGTAGAAGCTCGGTGCCGCAAAGAGGACCTTGGGGACCTCCGGGCGACGGGTCACGGGCGCCCGGGCGCTCCTCGGCGGCGGCGTTCCGGGGACCACCTAGCGCGCCGGTCCTGTTAGCTTAATGGCGGCGGGATCTAGTTCTTTATCGCGCTCTCCGCCGCCGCCGCCGCCGCCGCCGTCGCCGCCGTCGCCTGGAGAGCGCGCCCGCGGGTCGCCGGGGTCGCAGACGGCGCGACGCTGTGCCACGATAGAGACGTGGCGGGGGAAGATTGCTGGCGCCGTCGATACACCCCGACTGTTTATTGAAAGTTTGTTTCGTGGTGGAGATCGTGGGAGTTAGAGAAGATCGGGGCTGATGGAATTGGTTTGGAAGCGTAAGGAGTCGGGTGGGGAATGCGCGGGAGTGGTCGCAGATGCTCAGGATTCGCCGGGAAGGAGGAGGTAACGGGAGTGACAAGACTGAGACCACTACCATGACTGGTCAAAGACGTGACTAGGAACATGGAGAGAAGAACAGAATGGAGTTAGGAGGGAAATGAACTAATTGAAAAGAGAAAGACTACCCGCCATTATCCCATCTGCGTGTGTTACTTCGTTGAATTTTCATATGTGAAGTGAATGGAAAAATCACTTGAAGTGTATCAAAGAAGACGCGTGGGACATGAGAGGACACGGCAATGTAGGAGGTGAATGATAACTAGGAGATGAAGAGTTTGACGTGTCATGAGAGTCGATGGAAAACAAAGTGATGGGGTACGCGAGGTGTACCATGACGACAGGGAAGGCGCAGACATCCGGGATGGCGGAGACATCTTTGACAACGGTACAGTCGGCGGAAGCGACGGGAACTATAGAGTTGGTGTTGCATGCAAAGGCGAAGAGGCTACAAGCCTTAGGAACGACTGAGCTTCGAGTAATGACTCTGGACAGGGAACAAGCAAAAGGCAACTACAGTTCAAGACCCCTTTCCTATTATACTTTTTCATTTATATTTGTAATTTTACGTATGTATTCACAATTGTTGTTCACAATTTTCTGTACATTTTTTATTTGTATTTTTGGACAGTTTTAGGAGAGTTCGACTTGGACTTGGCCGCAATTGTAGGGGATAGTTGCGAATTGTTTTCGACATTTTTAGCTCTTTCTGGCGAATATACGACTTTTGATACATTTTCAAGGGCAAAGAATCGATTATGAATAGGCCACGTTTCAGGTATACAAATCCTTCCATTACACTCTAGGTGCACAATTTACAGTTTAAACGTTTTCAGAGTTTTTGAAAAATTTAAGAATTTTGTTCATACATCATTCTACATTTTTTGTATACATTTAATGTGATTTCATAAAATTTATAAAACGATTTGTTGCCAAAACTCGCGCAGTGTAAAATGTCGGCAATTTTTGTAGGAAATGATTTTATCATGACAACTATATAATCTTGAGCTTTACAACGATTTTATTAAATTTTGCAAATTACAAATTCTTAGATATATAGCGTATATTGATGTCATACTTCTATGTGTGTGTTATTGCCTTAGCGAAATAAGATTTGAATATTTCGGAGCTTTACTTGGTTGTTAAAGTCCACACTTGTTGCGCTGTCGGCGCAGCTAAGGCGAGCTAGCTCTAAATTAATTGGAAGATTACTTTCTAGCTAGGTTTTAATAGCTCTTCCCTCCCCTCTAGGGATGGAAGGCAGGACGTAGGTGCGCACACATTGTACTGCCTCATCAAGACAATAAATAACCGCTAGGAAAAAATAATACATTTTTCGTTAAAAAAAGCCTGTGTTATTTAATGAATTTGAATTATTATGAATTATGTTGAACGCCTTGGAATTGTTGTGTCAGATAATCAAAGGTTGTAAATTGATGTAAATATATTGATTATATTGATGATGTAATTATATGGATGATTGTTTGACTCTGCTTTGTCTAATAAATCTCATTTAAAAATTAATAAACGAGACCAGTTTCAAATTAAATGATCCCTGCGTGAACTTAAGGGATCCAGTTTTATTAACATCGATGATACTAGGTGAACGTTTTTTTAACATCCACGTTCTTAATTTTCCATTTTCCCCCATTTAAAAAATAATATATATTTTTTTTAATTTTCCATTTTTAAAATTGTTAGCATGGGTGCTTCGTTGTCGATGTCGCACAGCTCGCAGTGGGCGCAGGAAGGAGGAAGGCTGCGGCGCGCGACAGCTGCCGCGCGGGGGCGGAGAAAGCGTCGGCTGTCGGCGGCGTCGCTGGCGACGGCGGCGTCTTCATCACGGCGCCGCTGACGGCCGTGACGGAGGTGCCCGTCCGGGCGGTAACTCGCGGAAGAAACGGGCGGCCAAGTTACTTATGAACGGGTCGGAGATAGCGGGTGCTAAAGGGGGGATTCGTTGTATACTGTATTGTTGTAGCAGATTTAGAGAACAGAGATGATTCGGTCAGTACTGTGTTGTGGATATTTTATTTCATCACTAAAGTGCAGGTTTTCTTGCTTCTGTCTATCCGTTGTGAAAACTGGTACAATTGTAACGAGTACTTCAATTCTCGCGATTGAAACATTCAGTTCCCGGAAAACTGTTCTTGACGGCGTGTACAGATATCTCTATAATTTACTGGAGCTGCAACAACTGATGAGTTGGCGAGTGGATGAAATGTTCCGAAGCAGTTAAAGGTAATGAAGAAACGTCATGCGCCGTCACTACGTATGCAGTTGCTAGTAATACCTTGATTGTGGTTTACACAGTGTTAATGTTGCATTACCTAAGGCAGTTTATCATTTTGACAGACGTGAATTGCCACCTTTGGTCCGCCATATACGTGATTCGCTAAACATGAATCGTTTGTTTGCTTTTGATAATAGTAAATCGAGGTGCAAAGCAATATAGTATCGCAAATGAATGATTATTTATGGTATCTCAAATTAAAATGCATAACAAAGATTGTAAGCCCCAATTATATGTTATATAAACATTTATCTGCATTTGAAGATCGAAAATAATATTCAGGAGGAATACAAGAAGAAAAAAATGAAATTGTGAAATATTTCGACGAAGAAAGTTCGAACTGGCAATCAGTGAACCACCAATATTAAATGTTTAAGAAATGCAATTCGTGGTATCAAGCAATTAGCGTTCTGAGCCCCGAGGAATGAATAATTCTCTGGATCTTGGGGAAGTACTCGGGTGAGGTAAAGCTCGATTTAGTCGAGCTTGCGGAAGTATTTATGTCGTGTATCACAAAGAAGCCTACCTTTTGTGAGAGCGACTCTCCACAGAAAGAAAAGGTGCCGGGTGCAGCAGCCACGTCGAAACAACGGCTCGCACTTCCGCAAGGCGCGAATGTCGACACCGACCTCTCCAGACACCGACGCTCTCTCTCGCATGCGTCTTGTTTATTTGTTTGTTTGTCCGTCCGTCCGTCTGTCCGTCCCTCTCGGCGGACCGGCGGCCTCGGGAGCGCGGTCTGCTTTCACAGCTCGCGAGTGACTTAACGCCCCCTTCCAGAGGGGCGTAACTATAGAGTGCGTGGGCGGGCTGAGAGGAGCGGCGTCGTGTTTACTCGCGTTTTTTTTCTCGTAATTTTCACGATGAGAACGTCGCGGGGCGAGGCGGCGTTTCCCTGTCTGCGCGCGTGTGGAAACTCGAGACACCGCGCCGGCGGGGGTGGCGTGGGCAGGCGGCCCCGCCCCTCTGCGGGTTTATCGCCGCATCTCCGCCGCCCCCGCCGCCAAGGAAGGGCGCTCGCGGGGGCGGGGCGCCGTGATTTGTGGCGAGTTCCGCCGCCGCCGCCGCCGCCTCGGAGTCGCGCGGGTGGTGTTAAGTTCTCGTCAGCCGTGTTCCTCGTTTCCTCCTCGGGCGCCGCGCCCGGCCGTGTCGCTGGGCTTCGTAGTCGTCGCGTCGCTGTTACTCTCGCTTCTCTGCTCCAACACCAGTCGATGCTGGGCGGTCTCGTCTAATAGGACCGGCTGGGTTGCGCTCAAACAGCATTGCCGCTGTGTGTGAGGCGGTTATGACCCGGAGATCGTAGAGTTCGAGGCCCAGCGGTGACGGACACTAGATAGTGTGGTGTCGTTAACACGAGGGCCAGAACCGTTAGGTCGGTGAAAGCACGCTGCGGGGGTGGAAGGGGTTGAGCCTGAACATCCGGGAGTTTGCGCTCTGGCGGTTGACTCAGGTAGAGCCGCAGAGCCAAAAATACCGGAGGCTGGTAAACTCCGAGGATGCTGCCGGCGAGCCTCGTTTTACGGAAGCAGGCAGCCAACCTGGAATCTGTGTGTGGGCGTAAACAGGCTGCTGGCCCGCGCCAGTGCGCTCATCTATGGAACAGTGGTGGGGTGTCAGCCTCAACTATTTAAGCGGCGCCATCTGCGCCCGCGCTCTCATTCAGTTTGCATCGGGTAGCTGGTACGTGTATGTACAAGGAGGGTGTAGAGTGAGGGCAGATAACCGGAGAGTAAGGGCCAGACAATCTCACGTGCTGTAGGCACCGTCGCCACGACCGGGTTAACTTTTGGCGTCAGGCCTATGTGACGTAATTGTCACGGGACAGAGGTCGACGCGCGGCATCACGCGTGGCTTGTATTTTCTGCGGTAAAGCAGTGTTCGAAAAGGAAAAGGTTGCCAAAGTGTTTTTAATATTAGCAATTCATTGTAACTTGTACATAATCTTTGAATATATATTTTTATTTTGTTATTGAAATTTATTTCTTATTTCACTACGTCACAATAGCTAGGTGGAAATCCAGCTGCTGTCTGGAGGAGAAATCGGAATGTTGCTCTGATCGATAGATTGCTTGGATTTTTGAATCAAAACCAGGTAAATGCCGAAGCAATACCTTAACGTACGCGCCACAGGCAGCGCGTGATTTTTCTTCTCCTTTGTCTAGTTGCACTACACAGTCGGGCAATGGCGGGAGACCAGTAGAGCGTCTTCCGGCTGGGGCAATCGATCGATCAACCGATCGATTAGTCAGTCATTCGCGTGCTTATGTACCGCACTGTCATATTCATGAACTGCTCATGGTATCAATTTTTTTCGCCTCTTTAATGCACTTTTCCCGTCTTCAATGATTCGGATCTCTTTTGTTCTACTCATTTATTTTCTCTTTGCCTTTTCTT